AGCTCTGTTTATATTATGACCGACGGTGAATGTTATAAAACCATACCAGTTCATTTGGCGTCACAGGTGAACATGATTTTACCGGCAGGTCAAGTTGAAATACACGAAATACACACGTTAGTTGGTTTGTGCTCCTAGTCCTCGAATGACATTGCTCTCCTATCCACAATGTTGTTTTGGCCGGTAAAAGGACCTCAAAGAAAGAGCATTAATGTCCTATTGATAATAAGCGACTTTCCTCTGTCATATTCTGGTACTGTATGCAAAGATTACATTCAAAGGGTAATGAACCAGCACTTACGCTGTCTTATATTTCACCAAATATCTACAACTTAAACGGAGAGATATTTCCGCGCACATACTTCACTAAAAACGGCCTTGGAGTTTAGTCATCCAACACTGTTCTTCTGTGGTTTATATTCTTGAGAAAAATGTTATCTCACTAAGATTACTAGGAGTATTTCACAATTTACTTATGTACGTTCTATGCGCATGTTATGTATGACAATAAACATATGGGAATACAGGTTCGAGGATGACAACTAGTCATTGTTTATGGACAATGGACCGTGGAAAAAGTAACAAGCATGAATTTAACATGGACCACAGAGATTTACGCACGATTGCATTTTACTCATTTGGTTCACCACAGTGGAAATCATCGTTTTGGTCAGCATTTTAGAACAATCTACACTGTCTGTCTATGGGTCAGTAGACCGATCGATCATCTGGCTTTTGTAAGTGAGCTTCGGCTGAAATGACCTGCATACGCGCGCGAGCACACACAGATCCCCGGGGAAATCAAGTTTGTTTAGCTGAAAGGATCACGAGTGAAACATCTGCACTCTTGTAGCCGGATAGACTCCGCCTTTTAGACTATAGTCCGAATGTTTCCTCGAATGAGTGACTTCCCCTGGGGAAACGTATCGGATGCCCATAAAATTGTAAAAGTATTTGGTCAAACAATTTCAGAAATATTTGGACGTTTCCACCGAAGTGAACTTTTGAGTATAATTACCAATTCTGGGTGAAATTTGAAAATCTTTTTTTAATATGCTATTTATTCTTGAAAACGATTTAGTGTGTAACAACAGACACAAACTTTCTCGTGGGGTTACAAGTGTACTAAACGCGAACATTTTGAACGAATTATCAGCGATTACAGATATGGTAATTTTGAAGATATCCCCAAACCAAGATTGCTCACTGTTGAATAAGCGATCAAATATTTTACGGTAATGTGTCATCGCTTGGGCCACATAATGCCAACATCAAAAGGTCATGCGTAATCCATTTACTTTACGTTTAGCTCATATACAACGAATGGAACTATTATTTGGTCTTTCTTTATACAAATTCTCTTTAGTACTCAACAGAGTTTCCGGGAAAGAATTCAAACAACTAAAACGAAAATAGATTCAAAGTGATCAATCCAACCAAATTCGGAACCGGGGTGGATATTTTGGTGATTTATTTGTCGGAAACAAAGGGTGTTTTCCGTTAAGAGCAACAAGAAGTTCCGCGGCGTGAACCACGTAAGTAATCATATGCCCCTGGGAACTTTCCTCCGGTCATTCCTATACTATTTATTATTAATGGAGCAAAGGGTGGCTATTGTGTCCAACTTGATGATGTTAGGCTAACTACAGAATTATCGTTGTTTATTTTTCAGGGTTGCCTTATTTTAAAAACTTCCGTAGATGTCGAGACTGGAGCTTCAAATCTCCATGCTAGAAGTCGACCCTTTGACCCGCGTTTGACTAGAAGGTCCATGCTAAATCCCCAGACGGTGATGCCGGATATTGCACATTGCACAACCTTCTTGAGGAATAGAACAAACTGGAAATGAGGGGAATGAAAAAACGCCTAAGTAGCAGGGCCCATGCAACAATGACAGACAGTCCATGAGCCCAGATCTCGGTGAACGCTCATGAAAGTGGCCAAAATCGTTGTGAGCTGATGAGGAAAGTTGGATTACGCTACGAGTCTAAATTGCACGACACTGAAACCCGACTAAAAGCAGAGTCCTAATTATGCATTTCACTTGCTTATCTCATTATATTATTTTTCTCGGTACAATATTTATGGGAAAGTAAACTGATGAACCATTGCAAAATCATGAGCCAGACGAATGATACATTAAGATACTGGATGACTTTTTTCACGCATTTATCAATTTGTGATATCCCGGGATGTATTCAAAATGTTTTGCTGCTATGTGGACAATGACTTGTCACCGGGACGGCTCGTATGGATTTCTGATTTCACGAATCGACGCCCGAAAATCTTACGTTTGAGATCAGACATCTCAAAATACAAAGGCATAACACTTGATCCACTTTATGTTTAGGTAAAGCAAGTACAATGCAGGAAATAAGGAACATGTTTTGTCAATAACCACTCAGTACATTTGAAATGTTTTCGGATGCGTTTTATCAATGACAGGCAATTTAGGTTTATGTCACAAAATATTTCCTCGCCCCGATGCTTAAACGAACAAAATGATTCCAGTAAGCAGAAGTAAAATTGTGTTTAGGTGCGATAATCAAATCGCTGTGCTAAAGTATTTCCAATTATTTCTTCCGTCATGGAACCTGCCGGGTAAACTTTGATTGTGTTCAATCCAATTTTCAAAACAAAACGTAGGAAAACGACAGTTATAGCAGTCGTTTTGCAACAACTCACTAGATCAAACGAGATATGAACTCATTTGAACCACAGTTGAGTGAGATTAATTATTAATTGATTTATTGGCATACATATTTTATCACAGCAATACAACAGTCCGGGTTTGCCAAATGGTATCCCCCTGATAATGTTAAAGAGACAAGAGTGAAGACACATGCGGTGCAAGGAAGTTTTATCGGGCATTCTCAGTGGTCGCAAACGTATGACAAAATATACAACAGACAGTGAATGACTACGGAAAACTGATAAGTACTTATGGTATTTTAAAAAAAGAAAACTGAAGGTGATGGGTTAAATCCAAAGCAGGTTTGGAAATAGTATCATATGGTCTTGGAAATACCGAATTGGTTTAATGCGAGAAGTCCATAAAAGCTCCAGTGTCCATAAACGATCAGGATCGAGATCACGTAAAATGACAGAGAACCTGTAGGTTGGGTGGATCTTGAGAATGCCTTCACTCAGGCGGAAAGCATTTGCTAATCCCGGTCTACATGTAGGATTTGCACTCGGTTGGTTTGGCTGGGTCATCACGGTCTCTGTGTGTTTTGGAAGGTATTTAGTTATTCGTTAGCCGAAATTCATATCAATTCCACCTAGCAGCTGCAAGAGAGTTGAGAGCAACAGAAATTCGGTGTTTTCGGGAGGCGCTGTGTGGCAGAATGAACACAAAATGACAGCATAGAAAGTCTTTCGAAGAGTGTTTTTGATACACTGCACTGGCAGTTGAAAAACGCGACGTTATACGTTTCCGG